AGAGCTGTCCGTGCTCAGCCACTTTTCTCGTGGCCTTGTGGAGTGAGCAGAGGGACCCTGCTGTGTATTTTCACTTCAGGAAGTTAGTTACATGGCTTGAAGTCTGTGTCCTGACCTGCGTACTATACATTTGACTTTAAACTCGTGTGTGCACAGATTATAAAGTAAATAGCAACACTATTCCCCGAAAGGAAGCCACATCTTGATGAAAAAATTAATCTCTGCCTGAAACCAGAATTCTAGATGTTTTCTAAGGCCCCATCTAGATGAACTCTTAGCACCCTGTTTTACAGAGCTGGGCATGGCTCACTAACATACAACGTGCCCTCCCCTCAGGCCTCATTTTCCTCCCCTGAGAAGCGACAGGGCTGGTGCAGCTCCCGGCCCCACCCTGGCTGTTTGGGCCGTGGGGCCAGTGGGCAGCAGGCATGCCGAGCAGGCAGATGTGATTCTGAGCCCAGCGCCCTTTCCCGACCCACCATCCACCAGCTCGCTCTGCTCTGTTTTCTGTAATGGCTTCTAGTAAGACTCTGTGTGTGAAAGAGTAGAAGAGGGCAGGGGGAGGGGACTTGTACAACTCACACCTGAAAACCACTGCTCTGCTCCTCCTGCCGGGCCCCGGGCAGGACGGGCTCAGCCCTGCCCTCCGGGTACCCCGTCCAGGGCCGGTGCTGGGCACGACTGGGTGAGTCGCTCAGGTCTCTCCGGGCTGGAATTTTGCCTCCCTCTCCCAGTCAGGTGGTGGCCGAGCCGGGAGCAGTGTGGGTTTCTTGGTTCCTGGTCTAGAATCCCGAACTGACCCATCAGGAAGTGTGGGGGACCTAAGGCTGGGGTGTCTCCCGGACTAAGAAGTCGTTGTCACTGCCTTACCTAATCTTTAATTGTCTGCCGGCCCAGAGTTTACCCTTCTGGGGGAGGGGTTTATCTGCTCTTAGGGTTCGAGAGTGTGTGCATATGTCAGGTCCTTCGCCTCCCAGCCTGTGCCCTTTTCTGTGGAAATGGGGGCACAGCCTGTGTCCTTGGGCTGTGTGTAAATCTCACAGCCCAGCCAGCACCTGCACCCAGGAGACATGCAATGCATGGTGGGAAACAGTATGGAGTTTCCTCAGAAAATTAACTATGGAACTGCCATTTGACCCCGTAGATCCCAAGAAATGCAAAGCACCAATCAGAAAGAATATGTGCACGCCTATTTCATAGCAGCGCAACTTACATTAGCTAAGATCTGGAAACAGCCCAAGTGGCCATCAGTAGATGAGTGGATAAAAAAGCTGTGGTACATTTATACCATGGAATACTACACAGCAGTAAAAAAAAAAAAAAAAAAAAAAAAAAAAAAATCTCTTACCCTTTGAGACAGCATGGAGGACCTGGACAGTATCATGCTAAGTGAAATAAACCAGTCAGAGAAAGATAAGTATCACATGATTTATGTGGCATCTAATGAACAAAATAAACTGATGAATGAAACAGATCCAGAGACATAGAGGCATGATACAAACTGTTGAATCTCAGAGGGAAGGTGGGGTGGGTGGGTGGGAAGAGATTAACCAAAGAACTTGTATGCACATATGCATCACTCGTGGTCACAGACAATAGTGTGGTGAAGGTCTGGGGCGGGGTATGGGTACAGGCGGGAAAGGGCAAAGGAGAAAGCACAGCTGCTCTGAACAAGCTCCACAAATTATGTACAGAGCATATTCAGCTCACTTCCAGTTGTTTTTATTTATTTACTTATTTAATATATTTTTTATTGGTTTCAGAGAGGAAGGGAGAGGGAGAGACAGAAACATCAATGATGAGAGGAATCATTGATCAGCTGCCGCCTGCACGCCCCCTACTGGGGATCAAGCACACAACTCCGGCATGTGCCCTTGGTCTGGAATCGAACCTGGAACCTTTCAGTCCACAGGCCGACTCTCTGTCCATTGAGCCAAACCATGAGGGCCCAGTTGTTCTTAAAATGTTTCACTGTTATATTTGTTTTAACTAATTCAACAGGTGTGAGATTTGACAGAAACAGGATAGAGCGGTAGGAGGGAATTGTATGTGGGAAGGGAAATGGCAGTGGGTAAAAATAATTAGCAGTTGAGATGTGTTCAAATTCTCATTATGTAAGAAGAGCCCTATTTTGGTTGGTGAATCATCGTGTTTTTTTTTGGAAGGAGATTAAATAGCTGTGGTTGTCCTAATGCTGAATTGGGGGAAGCAGTAATAATATCAATGTGACCCTCCAAAGTAAGATAATAAGTAGGATACAATCGCAACTCTGAGCTGTGTTAGGCCTGTGTACAGCCTATAAAAATTTAGAAAATTCATCAAACGTCCGTTCAGCATGTTTTTGTGAAGACTGTGTCAGTAAGAGGCCCACGTGCTGTTTGGGGCAGGAAAGAAGGCGGTGTTTTAGCGGACGTGATGGCATCATCATCGTGCACCATGTGGCACTTTATCGTTCAGCAAGTATGTTTGACCACTTGGGATTTCACAAAGACTTTCTAATCTGTTCGCATGTGCTTTTTCATCACCAAGAAATGGGGCAGCTAAGCAAAACCAACTTTGGAGACGTGGCTGATCCCAGGGCTAGGTTAGGGAGAGAACATGAGCCTGCCGGGAGAGCGGCTCAGAGGATGCTGGTACGCACCACAAGGTCACGAGAGCACGCCTGATGCGGCTCCATCTGAGCAAATCAGGGACTCTGTTCAACCACTTCCAGTTGTGTTTATTTATTTAGTAAGTAGTAATAGTAAAGGACTTACAACCTTCTGAGTGTGGCGAGAATTCATGAGCCCCCACTAGTATAAACGAACGAATACATAAGATGGGGTGGAGGGAAAGCTCTCCCTGTATTAGAAAGCCAGCTTGAAAATTGCAGGAGGGATGATGGAATTAGAAAAATCACCCCTGGCCAGCCCTCCCAGTCACTGGCTCAGGCAAGAATCATTAACTGGTGGATGCTACAGCAAGGGATTTGAGTTTGAGGATTAGGAAGATATTTATGTAGTCTCAACGTCCATCCCCACAAGGTGCTTTTCATTACAAGAGGCAGCATGGTCACTGCCTCGGAGAAACTGCAAGATGCCGCCTCAGCCAGGTGCTCCCGCAGGTGCGTCCTGGCGGGCCCCATGGGCAGGAGCTGCGCTCGGCTGGCGTGTTCCTGCCGGACGTGCGTCCCCCACAACCTGGTCCCGGGGAGCAGCAGACACGCCCAGACGGGAACAGAAGGAGTGGACCAGAGAGGAATGTGAACACTGAATGCAACCTCCAGCATCTTGGGGTCTCCATTGCTCTAAAGCAAGCCTGTCAACCTCAAAGGCTGACACGGGCCAAATAAACAAGGTTTAGGTTTATGTGGGCTGCAAAAACAAAAACAAAAACAAAAAAACCCCACAAGCTTCAATTTTCATAGAAACGTAGGTTTATTTCAAAAAGTATAATATAAAATAGGATAAGAGCAACGATAAAATCAGTATTTTTGTACATGCCGTTATATTGGCTAGGCCACAAAAATATTTGTTGCGGGCCGCAGTTTGACACGCTTTCTCTAAAGCTGTGTGGGACGGTAGAGGGCATGTCAGGAAGGCCTGTGGGTGAGGCGTGGGATTGTTTCAGTGTTCATTTTCTAACTTTGGTGATTACACCATGGTTATGTAAGAGTTCCTTCTTTTTAGGAAAACACACTGACGTGTTTGAGAAAAGGGAGGGAGAGAAGCAGGAAGGAAGGGTTTTCCTAGAAGGTGTGTTAGCCCTCTCAGCCCAGACTCCTGAGAAGGGTTTATTTGGCCCGTGTCAGCCTTTGAGGTTGACAGGCTTGCTTTAGGGCAATGGAGACCCCAAGACCCTGGAGGTTGCATTCAGTGTTCACATTCCTCTCCGGTCCAGTCCTTCTGTTCCCGTCGGGGCTTGTCTGCTGCTCCCCGGGACCAGGTCCAGGGACGCACGTCCGGCAGGAACACGCCAGCCGAGCGCAGCTCCTGCCCGTGGGGCCCGCCAGGACGCACCTGCGGGAGCGCCTGGCTGAGGCGGCTGAAGGAGCCCCGGCCAGAGGGTTAAAGGAAGGAGACCTGGGCTCAGCCTCCGCCAGAAAGAGAATGGGGCTCCGGGAGCAGGAGGGGCCACGGGATCCTCGCCCCGGCTTTCTCATCTGCACGACGTGGGCTGGACGGGACAGCCTCTGCGACCTTCCTGCTCAGAGGAAACGGGTCTCCCTCTGAGATTCGGCAGTGACAGCATCTGGACAAGCCCCCAGAGCTTTCCCTGGGCCCCGGCCCCTGAAAGACTGCTGTTTGGAGCTCCTTCCCGGTGTAGGCACCTTCCCTAGATCCTGTGCTCAGCCGTGTAGCACATGGCACTGATCTCTGCGCATACTGGGGAGTTTCCTCATCCGTTCCTCATCCAAAGCGGTTTGCTCATCTGTTCTTTCCCGCAGCACGCGAAGGGGTAACCTACTATGTCCCAGGCCCGCACCAGGCCCAGGGGGTCAGTTAGGAGTCACGGGCCTGCCACAGAGCAGCGTGGGCACACACTATGCACCTGCTGGGGTGGTTTTTGTCAATCACTTTTCCTTGTGGCGGGAAAGTGGCCGATAAAAGAACCAGGAGCCACAGCTCCCCTCGCAGGGAGTGGTGTGGACTCGTACCAGCCTGGTGACCCCCGTCTGCCTCGTCTCCTCCCCTGAGACGTGGGGAGAGCGGTTGCACTCTGCTGCCACCTGCCCGCTCGCAGAGCTGCAGCCCGTCAGCGGCAGGATTCCACTCGGGCTCTGCAGACACGAGGTGGTCCTGTTCTTAGTCCCTCAGCGTGCACGTATGGCCGTGGCTTCAAAAACAGACTGACACCGCTGTCTCTCCCTCTTCTAAGCCTAAGAGAGCGCCTGGGGGGGGGGGGGGCATGGCAGAGTCAGGGGGACCCAGCCGGGCTGCAGAGGGAGCCCTGTGTCCCCGGGCCGGCGTGCGGCCAGAGCCTGGCGGGGCAGCAGGCTGACTGTGGCCCTGTCCCCTCAGTGCACCAGGTGGCGGAGCGGGTGGAGGCGCTGGGCCAGTTCGTCATGAAGACCAGGCGGACCCTCAAAGGCCACGGGAACAAAGTGCTGTGCATGGACTGGTGCAAAGACAAGCGGAGGATCGTGAGCTCCTCGCAGGTACGTCGCCCGCCTGTGGTGTGATGGGGAGCGGCTCTCTGGTGTGTGTGTGTGGGGGGGGGGGGGGGACACGGGAGCGGGCCTCCTCAGAAACCCTCTCCGGCCTCTCGGCCTCTGCGCCTCTGCTTCTTCCCCAGAGGACACGAGTGCGGCGGGCATGGCAGTTCTGTTCTCCGCGGGGCCGCGCTCATTTAGGGGGACTGGGGATCGGTCCTGCTGAAACGCCGTAACCTCGATTTGACTGGCCATTTAAAACCGTTCCTTCCTGAGCACGCCTCACGGTCTTAGGTGTGAGGAAGCCAACGGTGAAACAGTGGGTTTTCCCAGATGGAGGGCCGCGTGGCTGAGAGGCCACCATGGCTTGTTGAGCAATTTTAGGTCTTAAAGGACAAATTTAAGATAGATGTTTTGTAAAGACTATTTAAGAACAGTTCTCCAGAGGGCAGGGGAGGGGGAGGGGTAAGAGATCAACCAAAGGGCTGTATGCATGCATGTGAACATAGCCAGTGGCCCCAGACACTGCGGTGGTGGGGGCTTGTCCGGGGGTGGGGGGTGGGAGTGGCTGGGGGAGCTGTCAATTGGGGAAAAGGGAGATATATGTAATACTTTAAACAATAAAAATAAAAACAGTTCTCCAGGGTAAGGGCTGAGAAACCACCCCTGTCTGGTGATGAGGATGAAAAAAAAAATACATATTTTGTGAAACCTAATTTTCCATTCATTTCGTATAGTTGACATAGTTTATTTTCCATCTTACATTAGTTTTATCTATTGCTGCATGACAGATCACCCCAAAAGTTAGCAACTGCAAGCAGCAAAAGTTCATTCTCTCTCGGGGCTCCTGAGAGCCAGGGACCAGGGCAGCTTGGCCAGGTGGCTGGGTGGCCGGGTGGCTGGGTGGCTGGGTGGCCGGGTGCCTGGGTGGCTGGGTGGCTGGCTCCAGTCTCTCGGGGCCTGCAGGCTGGACGCGAGCGGGCTGCAGGCAGCAATGAGGCCGAGGCTCGCTCTGAGGTGGCTCCCTCTCCGGCTGTGGCCGCAGGTCTTAGTTCCGCTCCTGGGGACTTGCCACAGGGCTGCTCAGGACATGGGCTGGGCTCGCCAGAGCACGTGATCCAGGAGAGGGAGAGGAGGCAGAAGCCAGCCTCCATGCAGGGCGCCCTGACCTGGCCTCACTCGGCTGTATCCCTTGGTCACCCAGCCCAGCCCGATGTAACGAGGGAGAGGCCCATCCGGCCGTGTGAGACTTGGGTCGCCAGGGATTCCTGGAGCCGGGCAGCCACTGTGTAGCACTTTTTAGGGTTATTGGGATGCCACATGCATTGAACATACAACTGTAAACTGAAGTCATGTATTTTCATAGCCAAGTTGGGCTTCCTTTCACCCTTGCCTTCACCCCAGCTTTTTCAAAGGGCAGTTCGTTGTTGTTTTTTTATAGCCCTTTTAACTATAAACACTGTATGTGTCCTACGTGAGCCACAGCTCCAACATTCACGTCAGGGCTGTTTTGACAGGACCCGGGTCATTACAATGCTGTATTAGCTGCCAGTCTAGTGTGTCACATAGCGCTTGCTTTTTCTAAGTCCATAAAAAGTTTAGTGCTCGCCCTTCACCACATCCAAGAAACACTGGAAAAGAGAGCACAGAAAGGGTTTTCTGCCACCACCCTGCCAAAACCCTTCTTTTTATTTTAGGGCGCTTCTTTCCAGACCTTGTTTTCTCAAATGCCCACTTTGACAACGTGGTTATTGAGATGTGCGTGTTCCCACCTCAGGCTGTTTTATCCTTGAAAGAATAGAGTATGTGGATTTTTTGGTCACTCTGATTAGAGAGAGAGGCGGGGCGGAGGGCTGACAGGCTCCATCCACCGTGTCTGCCGCAGAGAGAGTGGCTGGGGGGTGGGAGGGAGCGGGGACAGCAGGAAGGCTCTGGAACAGACATGTGTGACTCAGAGCCGCCCTTCTCCCTGCAAAGGCAGGCAATGAGTCAGCCTGACCATGTGGGTCAGGGTTGGGGAGGAGGCATCCTCTCGCCAGGCCCGCAGGCCCTGTTGTATAAGCTGTGCTCACGGAGGGGCCACATTTCCTTTTATCAGCCTGATTTTAGCCTCTTGGGTGCCCTTTTCTCTCCAAAGCGCCCAGCAGGTGGGCAGCGAGGACAGGCAGGCCGGCAGTGCCGTGGAGGAAGTCACCGAGTGAAAGCTGCCTGTGGGCGGGGGGTGGGCAATGTGTTTACTAAGTGCCATGTAGGCAGCTGTTACCTGCTCTGTGCTGTTACCTAACCCTCCCCACACGTCGTGCTGGGGGTGCAGCCAGAGAAGTCAGACCAGGAGACCGGGGTCCTTAGGGATCTCGAAAGGCCCAACACTGTCAACTTTGACCTTGTTTGGGGCCCTCAGCCACACTCGGCATGAGCATGGAAGTCGTGCAAGGCGAGCAGCGGTGATCAGACCCTGTTTGTGCCCCTAAGCGGCATTACCGCCCCCTCCCGGCACCTCATTCGCCAGATTTGGCTCAAGATGGCTTGAGTGATTACAAATATCAAGCCTGCTGTGGAGACTGCAGAGTCACCATCTCCGAGGGTGCCCCATGCCCTGAAGGAAGTCAGCTCAGCCGCCCTCCGCCGCTGTGGCCCAGAGCCACCACACCCGTGTGCTCAGGCGGCTGTGCTATAGGGACCAGAGCCCTGGGTTTGTCTCTGGGCGGTTTGTGTGACACACACATGACAGGCTGGTCTCCCCACACCCCCCTGTGGGCTGCAGTGTGGTTACAGAGGAGGTGGACTTGCTGACAACCCCTCATCGGTCTGGTCTTCTCTTCTCCCTCCAGGACGGGAAGGTGATCGTGTGGGATTCCTTCACGACTAACAAGGTAAGGTGTCCCCGGCGCACTCCGGGGGGCACCTCGAACCCGAGCCTCATTAAAAGGCGCTCTGGTCCGGCTCCCCAGCCCTGTGCCCGTTTCCTGCCTCGCGGGGAGCCTGTCTAGGGTGGAAACCCCACACAGCCCATCGGTGTTAAGACAGCGCAGCAGCCCACTGTAGCGCTCATCCCTCCCTCGAGCCGACACCCTTTGCCCTCAGAGGAGCCTGCGGAGCCCACGGAATGAGCTCCCGGTGTGACAGGAAGGGCAGGGCCTGGCACCCGGGGCCCCTGCACACAGGCGGCTGCGTTTATCCCTCCTCTGGGTGACAATAAGAGGCTCCCAGCTCCCCGCTTCCTCTCCCCTCCGTCTTTGGCCAGGCTCCGTGGCGCCGGGGACATGAGCACACGGCGGGCGAAGCCCTGGCTGCGGGGATTCACACTCTGTCCGGGGCGCAGGGGGGTCTGAGCCCCTCGCAGCTCTGGCCTGAGCGTGCACGGCTGCAGCATAGACCTAAATTCAGACTCTCCCCTAAAGGGAAAGGCGGAAATCTCTAGGTGTGCTTGCATGCCTGCATCGCGTTGGCATTTATAGTAATGAGTATTGTGTGTTGAGTATGGATTCCAACGTTTACTTAGAAGAAAACCTTCCTTTTCACGATATTAAAAAGGAGACATAGCCAAAACCGGTTTTGCTCAGTGGATAGAGCATCGGCCTTCGGACTGAGAGGTCCCGGGTTCGATTCCGGTCAAGGGCATGTACCTTGGTTGCGGGCACATCCCCGTTGGGGGGTGTGCAGGAGGCAGCTGGTCGATGTTTCTTTCTCATTGATGTTTCCAGCTCTCTATCCCTCTCCCTTCCTCTCTCTGTAAAAAATCAATAATATATATATTTTTTTAAAGGGGATGTATTATGACAGATTTGAGCGATACCCATATTCTGCATTATTGAATGTGTTTTAGTAAGTGCCATGTAAGCAGCTGTTACCTGACCAGATCAGGTGAGGCCCCAGAGCCATCTGTAGAGCAAGTCCCTAGAGTTTAGGCCCCTGGGGGAAAAAGAACAGTTTGGAAAGGTCAGTGTACATCCCTCCCTCCATGGAGGACTCCGCCGCTCCCAGCACGCCTAAGCAGTGCGTGCTTGGGGTTGTGTTGCTTCTGTTTATACCTTAGCATGGCACAGAGCACACCCTGCCCGGTTTCTGGGAGCTGTAGGGCCACCACTGGTGGCCTCTGGCCGGGAACCGAGCCATCACTTGTAGGGAAAGGGCCCTGAGCTGAGAGAGCGGCCTCCTCGCCTCACTCGCTGGAGAGCAGTAGGTGATTCCCAGCCTGAGAGGCGGCAGGGCTGTGAGTGACACCAGGATGCTGACAGGCAGCTCCGGGCCTGTGCTTCCCCATAAGAACACAGGGAACCTAGAGGAAAGGCCAGCCTGGCCTGTCCTGCACAAACTTAGTCCCCCCCCCCTCCCCTCACAGACGAGGATGAGGCTGTGTTAGTGCCAGCGGCTGGTTTGCCTATTGCACATCTTGTTGCTGTGGGAGCCACGCTGTTGAATCGTGGCTTTGTTGTTTGCTCATCTGCGCGCAGGAGGATGTGGGTGACTCGACCACCATCCAAGCCGGGGACTGTTAGGCCTCGCACTTCATCCTTCCACTTCACAGGCTCTCTCACCCCTGAGCACAACCCAGGATCAGCCTCCCACCCCCACTCAGCCCTCCTAAACCAGGAGTGGTTTAGGACTCAGAGGGGACCGAGGCTCTTGTAAACAAACTTATACACGTAAACAGTTATTCAAGGTTATATTTTGAAAATGGAAATCAGAGTATATGTTGGAAATGAAATTTGGATGGACCTGTAAAAGGAAAGGAGCCCCCTATTCATTCATTCAGAAGAACAAGTGGGGTATAACATTAAGAAAAAAGTAAAGCCTTAAGGATTTTTTTTTTTTTTTTTTTTTTTTTTTTGCTAGTTGGGATTTTAACTTTTAGAATATATGACTTAATAGCCTGGTCAGTATGGCTCAGTGGTTGAACATCAACCTATGAACCAGGAGGTCACAGTTCAATTCCTGGTCAGGGCAGGGCACATGCCTGGATTGCGTGCTTGATCCCCAATGTGGGGCATTCAGGAGGCAACTGAACAGTGATTCTCTCTCATCATTGATGTTTCTATCCTTCTCTCCCTCTCCCTTCCTCTCTGAAATCAATAAAAATATATATTAAAAATATAGAATATATGACGTAATGTTTGGTTGATTATTTGGGGCTGAGTGAGACTCCTTGTCTGTCACAAGCTAATCGTTACCCCACTCCACTGCCCTTTGAAACTATAACATAATTCAGTAAGATGGCCAGTGACTTTTTAAAAGGTAAATGTTGAGATGTGTGTGTGTGTGAAGCTTCCCTTGTTTATTCTGTGAACGGTTCACACTGTGTTTCAGGAGCATGCGGTCACCATGCCCTGCACGTGGGTGATGGCGTGTGCGTACGCCCCGTCAGGCTGTGCCATTGCGTGTGGGTAAGTAGGCCCCACAGCAGCTTTTCAGATGTCCTGTGACCCATAGAACACTGTGGTATGGGCAGAAATACACAGACAAGAACTTGTACTTTTTATTGTTTGCTTGTTAAACAATGTGTTAAATTGCTCCCTGAACGTTATTAAAAAACAAACAAAAAAAAAAAAACCACACAGAAATCTCTTTCATTATTATTTTCATTACAGAGTGACAGTGGTATAAGCTTTAAAACTATGCCCCTGACTCAGATGCAAACATCTTGGAATGCATGTTGGTTACATGTACCAGAAACCTGGAAAAATGTAGAACCTTCGATCTAGTGATTTTACACATCAGAACATGAAGGCAAAGACTCAGAATATAGAAAAAAATATATGAATAATAATTATTGTAGAATTATGTAAAATAAAGCCAAAGACTAAAAAGGGAAACAATATGTTCACCAAAGGAAATCCTATATAATAAAGACATAATATGCAAATTGACCATCCCTCCAACACACAAGATGGCCGCCCCCATGTGGACACATGATAGCTGGCAGGGGAGGGCAGTTGGGGGTGACCAGGCCTCCAGGGGAGGGCAGTTAGGGACAATTGGGCCATCAGGGAAGCAGTTAGGCATCAATCAGGCTTGCTGGGGAGTGGTTAGGGGGTGTTCAGGCTGGTAGGCAGAAGCAGTTAGGGGCAATCAGGCAGGCAGGCAGGCAGGAGAGTGGTTGGGAGCCAGCAGTCCTAGATTGTGAGAAGGATGTCCCAGATTGAAGAGGGTGCAGTCTGGGCTGAGGGACAGACACCGCCCTCTCTAACCCTGACCCCTGTGCACAAATTTCATACACTGGGCCTCTAGTTGTTGAATAATAGTGGTACCTGAATTGAATGGAATATTAACAGCCATTAAAAGGAAAATGCGTGACCACAGTAAATGAAAAGAGCATCTAGGTTATTCGGAAGATTGTACCTTAATCTCTGTTCTCCTGAGGGTACACTGTGTTACCCTCCATTAACCTTGGACACTTCTTTCTTCCCATGCCAGGGGCTTGGATAACAAGTGTTCTGTGTACCCACTGACCTTTGACAAAAACGAAAGCATGGCCGCCAAAAAGAAGTCTGTGGCTATGCACACCAACTACCTGTCAGCCTGCAGCTTCACCAACTCGGACATGCAGGTGAGTGAGAGCCCGTGGGAGGGCGGCCTGCGGGAGGGCAGAGGAGGAGCCCCAGGGTTCCTCTTAGCAAAAGGGGTGCTCCAGAGGAAGCTCCTGTTCCTCGTTGGTGATTATTATTTTAAATAAAAGCAGAAATGAGGACAGCCAGGGCTATTGGCTGTTGATAGAGGAGATAAAATACCTGCCATATTGAACATCCTTCTCTCATTGCCTTGTCGGGGGTGGACCAGGGAGCCGGGGGTGGGAATTCCGTCTCCCAGTCTGAGCGGTGGGTCCAAGGCCGGGAGGTGAGTGCACCTTCACGGAGCGGCCGAGCTTCAGGGTGTGCGCGTTACACGCCTCGCTGACGGCTTCACGCTCCAGTTTGGACAGATGCAAAAGAAGCAGCTGTAGGTAGTAAATCTGCGCCCTCCTCTGAGAAAACCCAAAGTAAAAACACTACTCAGCACGCCGGCCACATTTTCTTAGTGAGCTGTGAAAGTGCACTGTGGTTCATTTCTCACATCTGTTCAGCAAACCTTTCCCCGTGTCCACCACCCACGCTGCCAGGCACTGGGGACACTCAGTCTCTGCCCTCAGGGACCTTCATGGAAACCAGTCGGAACTGAACAGCGGAGCAGGCTGGGAGCTCAGGGCGGGAGGAGTGGTCACAGACCAGCTGCATGGAGTTGCCTGGACCAGCCTGGAGGGTGAGGGCATTGCCAGTGAGGTGTGAGGGGAGCCCAGTGGGAGGCAGGCAGCCCCAGAAGTGGGCAGGGACACAGCCCAGGGCTCCCCGAATGCCTTGTGGGTGGTGGGCAGCCTGCGAGGGCAGGGTCATACATGGCTTGTTTTAAGCAGGAGAGTGTGTGTCAGATAAAGTCTTCCCTGGCCCACTCTGGCTTCAGCTGACTCCATCAGGAGACCGGATAACTGGGTCATTGTTTAATTGCCGACAAGAGGGGTGTCAGGTTGACCTGTAGTATTTACACCTGGTGTCTGGGACCAGGAGCCTTGCAGACCTGAACAGCAGGGGCTGCTGTGGGCCCAGCTGGCTGCAGCAGCCACAACCTGGCAGGTGCCTTTGAGCCTGAGGAGGAGCAAAGCAGCAGAGGTCTTAGTGAGGAAGGAGGAAGCCACAGAGGGACGTAGGCACAGGGGTCGCCAGGCATCTCAGGTGTCTCCGGTGGAGACGGATCACCCTCACTGTGAGTTGGGGATGGAAGGGGCACCGGTTAGGCAGAAAGTGCTGTTTCCTAGCAGGCAGCCAGAGGGAGATGGAATAGAAGGAAGTCCGCTGGCCACGCCAGCCACCTTGCCAGGGCACCGGGCACAGGGCTTGGCTTAGAGTCAGACAGGGGGATCGAATCCCGGCTCCACTGCATTCAGGCTGGTCAATCCTAAGCAAGGTGTGTTCCTTTTTTAGTTTTCTCACCTGTGAGTGAGGATGGCAATAAATTCTTCCCTGGCAAGGTTTTCTGAGGGTTAAATTAGATGACTGGTAGAAAATAATACATACAGTCCCCGGTAAATATTAGCTCTTACTGTTATATTACTGATATTAACACAAAGCTTCATTGCACAACAGTTCAGGTGCATGGTCTGGTGTGGGTATTAATAAATTAATGAACCTGAAGTTTCTTGCCGTTTCTGGGATCAAAATAAAATAAAATAAAAACTCACTCTGCTGCTGTGGCTCGGTGTTTGAGCATCAACCTATGAACCAGGAGGTCATAATTTGATTCCCAGTCAGGGCGCATGCCCGGGTTGCGGGCTTGATCCCCAGTGTGGGGCCTGCAGGAGGCAGCTGTTCAATGATTCTCATCATTGATGTTTCTTTCTCTCTCCCACTCCCTTCCTCTCTAAAGCCAATAAAAATATACTTTAAAAAAGAAGAAGAAAACCTCAAGGGTCTGATATAAGATTATGGCATTAAAGCTATAAATTCTTTACATTCTAGAATAAATGAGTGACACAGTTAGAGGTTATGTTTAGTGCATTGATGATAATAAGTGTTTGGTTTTTAAAATTTATTTGTACTTACATTGTAATGAAGATTCCAAAGGTATTTTTAAAATATTAAGGATTTACTTTTTACTTCTAAAAGCAGTCCATTTGTTTGATTGAAGCGTATGGTATGAAAAATGACCAAATTAAAGAGCTAATCTGTGGCAATCATTTAAAGCAGAGTATTTGGACCTGGCATCCCAAAAAAGATTGGATTCACCCTTGCAAGTGCTGGGACAGGAGCGGTGCAGGGCAGGCAATGGGGGGTGGGCCTGGAGAGATGGGACGGAATGGTAGCGTAGGTACAAGTGCCCAGGTTAAGATGCGGTCAGTCCTGTGTGTTCCTAAGCTGCTCTCACCAGCCTGGCTCATCTTGTCGGATGTCCATTTGACAGAAGCTGAGGCTGTAAGGAGTCCCATGGAGTTGCAGCCTTGGAAATTCCCCAAATTTGAGAGCTGCCTCCCATGGGGACCTTGAGGAGGACTTTGGGGCCTAGACCCAAGAAGCCCGAGTGCTCCGGAACTCACCCAGCTCCAGTTCCGGGAGGTGCTCCGAGGGGCCTCCCCGGGGAGGAGATCCTAGGCCTCCCCGACTTCCCACAGGACGACCCGCCCAGACAGGCCGCCTCAGGCACAAGGCCGGGTGGGAGCAGTTCCCCTCCCGTGCTGTGTTCCCTCCCTGCAGAAGGCAGAGATTCCTCCTCAGTGCTAGGCCTAGCGAGCAAGAGAGAGGGGAATGGGAAGGCGGGAGGGGAGGGGAGAGAAGACTCCAGCAAATGGCAATTAGAGGTGCAGCAGGTCAGCGGGCCTTTGCATGCCAGCTATTCTTAAGGCCTGATTTCTGTCTTCTTTCCTCAGCATCAGTCACTATCACCCACAGAGGGCTCTCTGCTGTGGGCACTTGACATTGCCCAGCCACTTCCTGCACTGGCTTATCACCTCCTCCAGGAGCAGCCAGAGGGTGGGGCACAGGGAGGTTCCCTATGGCTTGTGATCCCCAGGGCTGCTCCTGGCTCCAGGGTGCTGCAGTGCTGTCAACTGGGTCTGGGAGCCCATAAATCCTGGATCCCACTGCCTTTCTCCCAACCCCACGCAGGTATGCTCAGCCGGAGCCCAAGCCCCATGCCTTTCCCCAGGCAGCCCAGCGTTCCTCTCCCTGGGTGGGCCAGCCTCACTCACTGACGGCTGTGCAGAGGCTGCTGTGATCGCTCCACTGAGCTGACAGAGTCTCCGAAAACATACCCTGATCTTATCACTCCGATTGGAAGCTTTCCATAGCTTCTTTCTGTCTGCAGACTGAAGTCTTCACTCTCTACACAGACACACCTTTCATCCAGAGCAGAGGTAGGCAGTCACGGTAGTGCCTGCCCTCCTTCACCTGGCCAGCGGTCACTCAATCCTCTAAGACCAGCTCAGATGCCCCAGAGTGCGTTTGGTGCCCCTCCCGTGGGCCCAGCTGTATCTCGGCACTTTTCACACTCTGTCATGGTGATCAGTGTCTTGTCTACAAGACGGTCAGAAAAACATGCCATTCGGCCATGCTAAGTTCCTTAGACCTTCTGCAGTGAGGGAGAGAACCCCAGCCTGAGAATCTCTAGGCCTTAAGGTGGAGGAATCAGGGAGGGCTGCTTGGAGGGTTTCAGATACTGCCCTGCGTGGTTTTAAGGTGGACCTCTCACAATGAGAAGCTGGTTGACGATATAATATTGTAGCTTTGGATTGGTGAATCCAGTGAGATTAGGGTCTCAAAGCCCAACTTGAGGAGCAAGCAGTTAAGTTTTGGTAAGTTGTTTACTTGGTTCACAGTCTTATTTTGCAGGAGCAGGAATGCAGCAGTGACAGGGTGTTGGGGGTGTGTGTGTGTGTGTGTGTGTATATGTATGTGTGTAAAAGGCCTGTGTGTGTGTGTGTGTGTGTGTGTGTGTAAGGGGCGTGTGTGTGTGTGTGTGTGTGTGTGTGTAAGGGGCCTCTGTGTGTGTGTGTGTGTGTGTGTGTAAGGGGCGTGTGTGTGTGTGTGTGTGTGTGTAAGGGGCCTCTGTGTGTGTGTGTGTGTGTGTGTGTGTGTGTGTAAGAGGCCTGTGTGTGTGTGTGTAAGGGGCCTGTGTGTGTGTGTATGTGTATGTAAGGGGCCTGTGTGTGTGTGTGTGTGTGTGTGTTTAAGGGGCCTCTGTGTGTGTGTGTGTGTGTGTGTGTGTGTGTGTGTGTGAGGGGCCTCTGTGTGTGTTTGTGTGTGTGTGTGTAAGGGGCCTCTATGTGTGTGTGTGTGTGTGTGTGTGTGTGTGTGTGAGGGGCCTTTTTTCCCTGTGGCCTTGCTCCTCACAGAGCTGATAGTGGAAACACACTCTTCCTGTCCTTCCCACGTCAGATCCTGACGGCGAGCGGGGACGGGACGTGCGCCCTGTGGGACGTGGAGAGCGGGCAGCTGCTGCAGAGCTTCCACGGGCACGGGGCCGACGTGCTCTGCTTGGACCTGGCGCCCTCAGAAACCGGAAACACCTTCGTGTCTGGGGTAAAGACCAAGGGAAACGTCTAGAGTGCTTTGTCTACCAGGGAGGGTGGTGGTGCAGTCCATGGCCACCTGGCAGCCACTGTGTGTCTGTTCTCCCCTCTGGGCTCAGAGAGGCAGCGACAGAGGGAGGAGGAAGGAAGGGGAAATGAAGGCCTGGGACATGCCATGGGGAAGGTGAGATGTAGGCTCTGGACAGTTTGTGCCCAATCAGGAAGCTGCCAAAGAAGAAAGCACGCTCCAGGGGGAAGCTGGGTCCTTCCCTTGTCCCCCGCCCAATCCGAGATCTGCTTCTGGCCTTCTGAGGGCCTGAAGCAAAGATGATCTCCGACAGACATGGTCTGTGTTACATAACTGGAACTCACGGTGTCTGTGCACAGTCCTTGCAACGGCCTTAACTCCGGGTAACTTTGCATTTGTAGGGCTGTGACAAGAAGTCCATGGTGTGGGACATGCGTTCCGGCCAGTGCGTGCAAGCCTTTGAAACCCATGAATCAGACGTCAACAGTGTCCGGTCAGTGAGTAGGGTGTTCAGCTGCTCCTCTGTTCTCCTGGGCTCCCTGGCCTGGGGTCATCCTGAGCCCACCACCGCCTCCAGGCTTCACGTACTGGGCCGAGAGGCCTCCCAGCAAGAATGGCTGCTCTGTGGTGGGACTGAATAGCGCTCCAAAGCTCTCAGAGACTTTAATATAACTGTACCAGGGGCACTGGTGGCATCCTCCCTATTGAGTCAATATTTCTCGTTCATTCAACAAATACTTGTTGAGTACTTCTAGGCTAGACATTGTCCCAGGAACTGAGAATACAGTTGTGAATAAGACAGACAAAGTCTCTTCTTTCCTGCAGGGGACAAGAAAACGCACAAATAAACAAATGTATGATTTAATTTGAGATGCTGATAAGTGCTATGAATGAAAGTAATACAAGGAGAAGCAGAGGGATGGGCTGTTTCTTAGAATGGACAGGGAAGGCCTCTCTGAGGAGGTGATATTTAAGTTGAGGCCGGATTATAAAGAACCGGGGGAGATGCGAGGTTCAGGGACCTAACAAGAGGCCAGATTGCTGAGTTGGGGGAGAGGGTGGCTAACATGATCTATGTTTGCCTTTAAAGGATCATTCTGGCTGCTGAGTGGAGAACAGGTTATAGGGGAGCAAGAATGGAAGGATGTGTGATAGCCGGCTAGAGGGAAGTTGCGTGAGATCAAGAGAGAAAGGATGGCGGCTGGAACTAAGAAAGCATAGTAGAGACAGAACTGTCTAGAACTGGGAATGTTCTGAGGTCTTACCTGACCTGCAGGCTATCAAGTTAGGCTGTCACAAGTTCATAGCTGCTGGTAGACAGAAGATACAGGGTGAAGGACAGTTTATTGCTCAGAGCAGCGGCAATAGCCAGAGTGTCAGCATTTCCGTGCCGGTTCCTGGAGCCCAAATTCCACAGGATGACATGGAAAGGGCCAAATGACATGCAGGATCTATGAACTGGATCCTAAGAAAGAGGTCAATGTTGACTTTAAATTTGGAAGATGACACTGTCCAGACAGTATATATAATATAATCACCCAGGCATCTTCAGTGTGCTTAGTGGGCAATACTAGGCTTGTTCCCCTTAAAAGCAAAAACAAAATGAGTTGACTTAATTACATTAGGAGTACTAGAAATGTTAGTAAGAACTGTCTAGCTCCCTGCCCTCAAATATGGGATAAGATAAAAGGAAAAAGGCTGTCGCTTTTTGCAAATATGTAGCAATTACCCAGAAAATTGATCCAGAAGTTACCGCAGATAGAAATGAAGTTGCTAAGGTGACAGACAGAATCTCCACAAAAGTCAAGGAAACCCTTATGATGAAATTCAGCTTAAGAAGACACAGTCTCTTACCCAGGCTTTTGCCTTTACCCTGACCCTCTCCTTCTGAAGGCCGCTATTCCACCAGGTCTCCCCTGAGGTCTGCCTCTCTGGGGAGCGGTTATAGAAAAGAGAGTGACGGTGACAGAAAGCATCGTTATTTACTGGAAGCTCTTTATTCGGCACCATGCCACATTCGTTGCTGTCTTATTCCCTCTTGACGAGGAAACTGAGGCTGTGCGAGGTGAAGTCCCTTTGCACAAGTATTCCATGTAGTAAGCAGTCAGTGCAGAGATCTGCATGGGGCTCTGTGTGTCTGATTCCAGTGTCTGTGTTTGTAACCGCTTTCTTATCCCTGAGCTCTGGGCCATGTCTTAGGAATGAGGTATGTGGTCAAGGGTCCGGGGACCTGCTCTGTGTTCCATGCCTGTGTTCCATGCCTGTACAGATACCTGTATTATCACATCTACTCCTCACCAACACTCTGCAAGGCCGATGCCGCTGTCTCCCACTGACAGGGAAGAAAACTAGAGGCCAGCGGGTCTGCCGGACGAGCTTCCCTTTCTGGCCTCCGTAACAAATGGCCCTCGTGTCCCTAGAAGTGGAGATTCTGGTTCCGAGGGCCTGGCATGGAACAGCCTTCCCCGACGGTGATGACGGGCATCCGGGGTTGGGAGTCTCCGCTCTACAGTGCGTTCTCCCCACCTCCCCCTGCAGGTACTACCCGAGCGGAGACGCCTTCGCCTCAGGGTCAGATGACGCTACGGTATGTTTCTGAGTCATCGAGAGCTTTGTTATTTGAGAGAGAGATGTGCTGCCTTCATTTTATTTTAAATAACTTTTTTTCTGATTACAAAATTAATGTCTATTTGTTGAAGAAACATTGGGGAGAAATTAAATTACCTTAATCTCCCTACTCGGGAAAAATCACAATGAGATGAATTCCTTTCTGGCTCTTTCCTTGTTAAACAAAATTTGCTTTTTTTTTTTTTTTTTTTCACTTACTAATAGATTGTGAACATTTTCCTGTGCCAATAAACATTGTCCTATATTATTTTTTCTTAGTGATTGAATAGTTTCCCATGTTATAGACAAAACCATCATTTACGTAGCCAGTCTTCAATTTTGGGACATTTAGGTTTTCGTGGTATGTGTTTTTTTCCTGTTAAAAAGCACTGCTGTAAGTAAGTATTTTTGGAGCCTCTCGTTATTTCCATAGAATGAATTCTCAGACATGAACTTAATGAGTTAAAAATAGGCCTAGTTTTAAAGCTTTTAATACTGATTGAAAAATTATGTTCACTGATTTTTTTAAAGAGAAAAGAAATACCTTCTTGTGCCCTGGAAATACCAAATAAATTATTAAATAATAGTAATAATAGTTTTGATTCTGATTCAGTACTATGGAAGAAATTACAAAGGATCAGATTGAGAGTTTTGATAAAAATACAAATTTAAAACTTATAGATGTCAAAAATATATATAACCAAATGTAAGTGTATATATTTTGGAAAAATCCTTTGCTACAGGTATGCCAGGCCAAGTTGAAATCCTCTAGATATGAATGAGGAGGCATAATCAATAAGATATATACCCCAATTTTAAAGAAAGTAGAATGCAGACCATTTATAAAGCAATACATCAAAAATGGCAAATAAACTGAAAAATTTTTCAAAATCACCTCTAATCCAAGAAATGCACGTTTCAGTGATCAGTGCTCAGCTGCAGGAGAATGCTCAGTGTGGAGGTGGTGCCGGGGGAGCCTGGGCTAGCCTGATCAGGACCCTGGGTACCAGCCTTCTAGAAAGCAGTACTGTGACAGAAGAACTTTCAAAATATCTCTATCCTTTGATCTGGGCATGCTATTTCTTGGAAATAATTCTATCCTAAAGAATCTATTCCATAGCTATTATAAGGGAAATGTCAGGGATTTTTACATAAGAATGGTCACCACGGGAGAGAATCTATATATATAAAAGCCTAAGCGACCATTACAACAGAACAACCGGTCAACTAGTCACTATGATGCGCACTGACCACCGGGGGCAGATGCTTAATGCAGGGGCTGCCCCCCAGTGGTCAGTGCATTCCCACAGCCCACCTCCCATGGCCGGCCAACTGCGTTAGCGCCTGGTGTCCGTTCCTTCCACGCCTAGCCCCGTGACCATTGCCTCCTCCCCTGACCCCGCCTGCCCAGGGCCTTTGGTGCCTGGCTGGACAGGGAACCGAGCCTGGGTGGCAGTGGACACGGCCCCTTTCCCAAAGGGACTGAAGGCTGGCTCCCTTCCCCGGGGGCCAGTGGCCAATCTCCCATGCCCTGTCCCTCCCCTGATTGGCCGGCCCTGAACACCCCTGATCACTGGCCAGGCCTACAGACCCCACTTATGCATGAATCCATGCACCAGGCCTCTAGTTTTATTATAAAAGAGAAAAATTAGACACAAACATCTTTTTAACAGGGTATGGCTAAATTCTGATATATCTACATGAAGACTAACAACAGCATTAATTATGGGTGTTGTTGTTGTTTTTTTGAAGATTATTTACTTATATGAGATAATGCTCATAACATAATAAGAAAAGTAATAAACATCCACTCTATGTTATTTTTTATTTCATTATTTATTTTTTTAATACACACATAAAACAGAAGTAAGTCTGAAGGAAATAGGTATTAGTCAATACCTCTAGGATTTGGGGTGACTTTTATTTTATTGTCTATGCATTTTGAGTTTTTCTGAATTTTCCACAATGAACATGTATCCTTCATCAGAAAAAAGGCCGGGTTTCATTTTAGGTTTTGTACCTGAGGAAGCCTTCTATATGTGCTGTGTCTTTAAGTCTCCATTGGAGATGAATAGGAATTGGGACTGAGGGAGAAAACACTAGGAGAGAAAACGTGAGAGGTGTTTCCCTCACCTCTCTCACTACCCAAGCCACTGGTACCTGCTGGTGGCTCTGTGGTGTCACCTCTCCAAACTGGAGCCAGAAGTCAGAGCTTCTTTGTTTGCACCTCAGTGTCGCCTCTACGACCTCCGGGCAGACAGAGAGGTGGCCATCTATTCCAAGGAGAGTATCATATTTGGAGCATCCAGCGTGGACTTCTCCCTCAGTGGTAAGATTTTCTGTCAGAAACTCCCCTGGGACTGTAAAACAGGGCCTAAGTGACACCCAGCTCTGCCAAGAGGCCCCTCAGCTCAACTTCCTGTGGGCCCATCTGCCAATAGTCTCCTTTTGTGCCAGTGTCCCCCCACCCCCACCCAGTGAGTCCTACTTTTTCCTGCCCTCAGCGGCTGCCCAGCCCCAGACCCTTCAGGGGAAATGAAGGCTGTGCCCATCTAACTGTTCTTCAAGGCAGAGATGGACAGACAGTCACATGCACAGGGCCTTGAGGCGTTTCTTCCCCAGCCTTCATTCTCCCTTCACACCTGAAAAAGGACTTTTTTTCAGAGGTGGAGGGTGGGTGACCCTTTCTCAATGCCCTGACTCGTGGCACCTCTGCCCTCACAGGTGGGGAGGCTGCTGGTGAACATTAAGGCAGCACTGATCCTCTGGGTCACTGGACCTTTCCATTTCCCCAGACACTCCCCGATTCTGCATCTGAGCCTCTGTGCATGCATGCTGCTACCCCTGCCTGAAACATCCTTTCCCTCTTTCCTCTGCTGGCAAACTCCTGTTCAACCCTCAAGAGCCCATCAAATGTCATTTCCTCTGCATTGTCTTCCTTGGTCCTTCCTCTGTGATGCATAGACCTTACACACAACTGAGCACTTCCAATACAGCCCTTAGCACATGGTGCTGTGATTTATGTGTCTTCCTACCCAGACCACCTTCCACAGGGGCAGCTACTGTGCTTTCTCCTCCGAATTCTCAGGGCAAATCACAGTATCTGACACACGGGGGCACTAAATCACTGTTTACTGAAGGAATGAACAAATGAATGAATGAGTGAATGAACGAACAAGCAAGCAAGCGTCATGCAAAGAAAAACAGGAAGGAAGGAACTGGTTTAATAACTGTCACCTCCTCCCGCTTGCAGGTCGCCTGCTCTTCGCTGGATACAACGATTACACCATCAACGTCTGGGATGTGCTCAAGGGGGCCCGAGTCTCCATCCTGTTTGGACATGAAAACCGTGTTAGTACTCTGCGGGTTTCCCCTGACGGAACTGCTTTTTGCTCAGGATCCTGGGATCACACCCTACGAGTAAGCGGGGAGACTTTCTGTTTTACTCCGTGTGTGAGAAGAGGAGTGATTGGCCTTCCTGAGAGCAGAAGTCCGAGTGAGCTGGGAGAGGCCTGGACAGCTACCCATGTTTCCCCGAAAATAAGACATCCTCCGAAAATAAGACCTAGCGCAACTTTGAAAGAAAAAATTAATATAAGACACTGTCTTATTTTCGGGGAAACAGGGTACATGGAGCTCAGGTTACTCAGAGCCACGGAAGGAATGAGTGGCCCCGGAGGCAGTGAGTGCCCATCAACACAGGTGTTCATGCATAGATTACACAGCTCTGTATCAGCATGCGGTAGAGGGAATAGCTGGATTAGGTGATTCAAAAGGTTCCTTTTAGTATGATTCTTCTGAGACTAGCCTTTGGCAAACCAGACTGCCAGTCTCGCCTCCTAGAAATGGAGGGTACTTGCGGTCACAGACCCCTGTGAAACCAACAGAGGGGCTTAAGGGGGGCATGAAGCCCCTGCAATCATATGCCAGATTTTGTGTGCGTCCTCCTCATGGCTTTTTAAAATGTATATTCTCAAAAAGCTCCAAGACTTTGTCGGGTGTTGGCTCCCCAGAAATACTGATTGCAAAGCAAAGCTCACCGCAGTGTTGAACACACCACCTTGGCAGTTTCAGTGGTGTCAGGAGGGAGAGCAAAGGCAGGTCCTTGAGGTGTTAGGGAGCTGAGGCGGACCTTTTGATGGAGGGACTCTGGTGGCATAGGGTTTAGGATTGCTGGACCCAGGGTTTCCAAGATGGGCTTTAACAGGGACCAGTCACTGATGCTCTGTGTTGTTCTGAGAAGTGCGTCTCTTCGGAAGAGGATGCTTGACGCGTGTATTCGTAGGATAAAAAGGGTGAATGGACTTTTGCAAAGTTTTACTGAAAGACACAGTAAAGTTATTTGTGACTTCATTCATCTTCCTGGTCAGGAGTTACCTAAATTAGTCAAGTTGTGTTCATGTACTCAGAGGGCTGTCTGGGAACAAATGGCTTCTGCTGCCAATCTAAGAGTCACCAGCCCCACGTAGGAGGCCACCGAAGCCCGTAGACCACATGTGTCAAACACAAGGCCCGCGGGCCAAATCCGTCCTGCCAGGCCTTGCAATGTGGCCCGCACCGCGCTGTCATCACTGCACTCCGCTGCGTTTCCATCACAATGACAGTTTATGACTGTTCAGTAAACCATTCAGCCCGCGATTTAGGCTGGATTTTAGATTTTGGCCCCATCTCTGATTGAGTTCGACACCCCTACCGTAGACAGTTAACTAAGGGGGAGGGGCATCAGGTCCAACACTCACCTTTCTCCTCTCAACCCTCAGGGCAAAGCACGGTGCCTGACACACCTGGGCACTGAGTCACTGTTTATTCAATGAATGATCAAATGAACAAATGAGTTGCTAAGAGGAAAGAGTTTTGTTTTCTAAGATGTGCAAGTGCTCTATTTTGGATGGACTGTGTGTGTGTGTGTGTGTGTGTGTGTGTGTGTGTGTGTAAAGAGACTTTGACTTGTCCCTTTAAACTCAGGTTTTGTATGTTAAGTACTAAAGAAACTAATAGTTATCTGTTTGTGTCTTTGCAGGTCTGGGCTTAATCATTCCCTCACAGCACACTTTTAGGAACCTGAGGTTAGAATCTGAAATCGCCACATGTCAATAGATCTTACTTCTAGAGGACTTGAGAGTTTATCACAACGTGGCTGAAAGGCCACCAAACATCTCCAATATTCCTATGAAAACCACTGTCAGCCTTCAGCACTAGGAGGACACCTTCAAGGACAGTGTTGGGGGGTTTTTGTTCTTTTCATTTTGAGCACTTTTTAAATTTATTCGTTAATATATATATATATATATATATATATATATATATATATATTGATTTCAGAAAGGGAGGGAGAGGGAGAGACAGATAGAAATATCATTGACCAGCTGCCTCCTGCACGCCCCACACTGGGGATTGAGCCCACAACCCCGGTCGATGCTCAACCACTGAGCCACACCAGCCAGGCTAAAATGTATTCATTTTTAAGGTTATTCTTAATTATACTCGGCTCAACTCATTCAGTTACCAACAGAATCCAGCGTCTAACGTGTTTCCTATGGCTTCTTTGCATCGGATTTGTTTCGGAGCACCTCAGAGCCTGGTCTCTGTCCGCTGTGCTGGGCCTGGGCCTCCCTCCGGAAGTGCTGGTTTCAGTGGCTGGAGGAGGAGGGCCGTGGTGACTGGTCTGTGATGGGAGGACGTTCCAATTCCAAGTGTAATTAGACAGATTCGCTTTTTTAAAAACATGTTTTTATTGTAAAACTATCTTTCCCGGTTGTGCATCATATTGTCTTGTTTCACATAAAACATTTTAATCTATGTGAACTGTTATAAATGAAGCAGGTGTGAGGAAGGTGGACAGGAGGTTTACTTTATGAATCGGATGATGATGGGATAGGAGTGTGATCACGTGGACAGAACATTTTCTTTCAAGGACAAAGCTGAATGGGGTTTGTGACACACGCTTCTCAGAGCAACCAAAACCTTTGTGCATGGGACACAGGACAGCACACTCGGTGAAAGACCTATCACTAGTATAGACGTGAGGTTCAGCGGGCTACGGTGGGTCTTGTCCATATCCATTCTACTCATATTTATTGCATTATGGATGTAATTGCATATGCAAATTAATTGCTAGGTTTCGAAAAATAATGTTTTATATTGAGAAAAATAAAAAAGATATCTTGTCTTTATTTGAAATTCAGCGATTCCTCCTGGAAGATACCAAGTACTCTGTTACAAGACCCTTGTTTTAAATGTTTCTAAAGGTATAGAGAGGCTTATTCTTTGTTTTAGAAAACTTCTTATTCATCAAGATGGCATGCATCAGGGGAGTAAAAAGTCACCTCAAATTCCAAAAATCACTCCTGGGTGAGGCTTGCCCGTGGTGTCCAAGGGCTGTCTGCTGCATCCCCTGGATCTCCCGTCTCCTCTCAGCCCTGGCCCGCGCTCCCCACCCCCTTCCTCCCGCCCCCGCCCCGGCCCCGGCCCCGGCCCTTCTCCCAGGGCCAGTTCTGGCTCCGCAGGCCCAGCCCCAGGCCCTGCTGCTCAGAGAGGCCCTTCCAGAGTGGGCACAGCCATCGGATGGGCCTGGGCCTGGCGCCCGTAACCTCGGGGGTGCAGGGCCACCCTCAGATCTACTTGGTCAGGTATCATCATGGACCAGTCAGGCCATCTTTTCCACCTGTTTTTTAAAAATAAACAGAATGGTTATATTCAGTCATTTGTGAGGGTTTTGCTGTGCAACAGCCCCGGTGAAAGAGCAATAGAAAGGCTCCCGCTTGCTTCTGAAGCGCCCAGCGGGAAGAAGGGGACGTGGTCCCCAGGGGCCATTTCAGCCACCTCCTCTCCCAGCAGAGGACCGCCTGGACAGGGCCTCTGGGAGATGGGCACAAGGTCCACCCAGCTGCTGAGGGGGCAGGTCCCAGTGTGTCCACGGAACCCCCAAGCCGCACTCCTAGGACATTCCAAACTACTCCTATCTACACACCCTGCCTCTCTCCCACAGACCTTGCCTGCCTCTGCACAGCTAATTCAGGCTTTATGTTTGGAGAGGCAGAGCATGTATTCAGTGCAAAACAGTCCATAACTTCCCAGTTAAAAACTGGAAGGACTCTGTTGGAGTATTTTGTAGATTACTCACCCCAGGCAGTAAGCCACTTCCCCTGTTAGTATTTCATCTCACAGTGTGCGCTATGTAGTATTTATGGATGAAATCCTTGGTTGGGAATATACTACACTATGTGGACACCTGAGGGCAAGCTCTAAGTAATAAACTGTATTTTGCATACTGAAAATAATGCCGAGTGGAGTTTTTCAACCAGTTTGACATTTTTCAGAGGACTGGGGGGCAAACCCACCAAACTGGCTGTGGGGAAGGAGCGTAGGGAATGTGCCCCTGTGTGCGTAGCCCTTCCCAGCCAGAGGGAAGGAGCGGAGGCAGGAAGGCAGCCCCTGAGGAGGTGGGCAGCCGTGGGGGTTGATGGGAAAGGCCTGTGACCTGAAACCGGGCAGCTGCTAGGGAAAGACCCAGCAGCAGGCGCTCCACACCCCTTTCCTCTCCCGCCCCTCAGCCGCCTCCACTCCCTCCCCCGGATTATATGCAGCTTAATGGCAGCAAAGGTGGTAAAGGCCTTTGTGTTCTGGGCTTCCATAGTTGTTTGGCCAGCTGGCTGGGAGGTGGCACACTGACAATTAGGACTCATCTGTAAGCTAGAGGGGGGCAGCACGGTGACAACGGATGTGACCTTAGGTTCAGACCCAGCTCTGCCCCTGGTACAGGATACAGGGTATCATCCAGATTTCCCCCGGCTCAGGGTCCTCATCTAGGAAATGGGACAGCATTACAGTATGTACCTAGCTCAGCCCGGCACATCTCCACTAGGGTCCATTCCCTGCTTCCGAGTTCTGTCTGTCCACCCCTCCTCCCTTTTCCTTCTCCCTTTCCTATTACTTCCTCTCCCTTATCTCTCTCTCTTCTCCCATCTCCTCCCTCCTCTCTTCCTATCCCACCTCTCCCCTTGTCTCCTTTCTTGTTCCTCCTTTTCTTCCTCTCTCTTCCCTTTCTACCCCATCCCTCCCTTTCCCCCAATTCCTTTCCTTTTTCTTCTCTGTCTCCCCCCCCCTCCACTTCCTCCCCTCCATAAGCAGCCTCCTTCAACTATCAAATTAGTAATTATCAATTAGAAAACCATCTGGGCCAGGGTTCTTGGTTTTTGGTCTTACAATCCCTTCATACTCTTAAAAATTGAAGACCCCAAAGAGCTTTGAGTGGATTATATCTGTCAATATTTATCATTCGTAATTAAAACTGAGAAAAATTGTAAAACAAGAATAGAGACTCACTAACCCATTCCACTAGAAAACTCCTGAGAGAACGAGCATTTAGAAAGCCACACATACAAAAAGAAAAGGTGTTATTATCATGAAAAAAGTGTTGACCTTGGGGATCCTCAGGTGGAACCACACTTTGAAAACAGCTGATCTGGGCTAAGGAGCTCTTTTTGAGCTCCTCTGGGAGGCCTCCCTGAGGCCAGGAAGGCCCTGGTAAGGAGCTTAGAAAAGGGTGGGGGAGTGGGGGGAGAAAGGAGAGTGATTAGGGGAAAGAGGACTTAACAAGAAGGTCTCTGAGGAGGCTTTGGGGTGACCACAGGCCCTGTAAGAGGCCTGGAGAGGCAATGAGAAAGGCTAGAGACCAACTGAGGCCTGTGAATATCTTTTCACAGGAGGACACTTGAAATCCTGAGTAAGCCCAGCTGATCCGTTAGAAGATTTACTGTGGTTGGGGTGGGGACCATATCACTTCACCTGGCTTCCCCCAAGTCCACGAGAGCTGACTGAGCAGGGAGTTGCAGATCTGCATTGCCCAAAGGTGGCTGCTGGTTCAACAACAAATTAAAAATACAGATCCTTGGGGCCTACTGCATGAAATGTCCAGAATGGGCAAATCCATAAAGTCAGAAAGCAGATTAGTAGTTACTTAGGGCCAAGAGTGGGACGAATGGGGAATGACTGCTAATGGATATGATATTTCCTTTGAGGAAATGGGATGCTAGCAGATAGTGGGAATGGTCAAAAAACCCTGTGAATATACTACGAACTTGAACGTTTTATGAACTTGACCCCAAAGGCAAGGTAAGTAAAGGCCAAAATAAATGAATGGGACTCTGTCAAACTAAGAAGCTTCTGCACAGCCAAAGAAACTAACAACAAGAGGCAGCCAACTAGATGGGAAATGATATTTGCAAACAGTAGCTCCAACAAAGGTTTAATTTCCAAAATATATAAAGAATTCATTAAACTCAAACTACCCAACCAAAAAGCAGGCAGAGAACCTGAAAATATACCTCTCCCAAGAAGACATACAGTCAATAGATACATGAAAAGAGGCTCAACCTCACAGGCAATTAGGGAAATACAAATCAAAACTACCCTGAGATACCACCTGACACCTGTTAGAGTGGCCATTATCAACAAGACAAGCACTAACAGGTGCTGAAGAGGTTGTGGGGAAAAGGGAACCCTCATCCAAAGCTGGGGGGAGTGTAGACTGGTAGAACCACTATGGAAAGCAGTCTAGTGATTCCTCAAAAAATTAAGAATAGAGCTATCATATGGCCCAGCAATCCCTCTCCTGAGTATACATCCCCACCCCACCCCCCAAAAAAATCCTCAAAATCATGTATTCACAAAGATATATGCATCCCTATTTTCATCGCAGCGTTATTCACAAAGGCCACGGCATGGAAACAGCCTGCGGTGAGGGCTGGATAAAGAGGTGATACATATGCACAATGAAACGCTACCCAGCCATAAGAAAGGGTGAAATAGCGCCATTTGCAACAACATGGATAGACCTAGAGAACATTATGTGAAGTGAAATAAGTCAGGAAAAAGCTAAGAACCATGTTATTCCCCTCATAGGTGGGATATAAACCTGAAACTCGTGAACACAAACAGCAGCAGTGTGGTGGCTGCCAGAGGGAAGGGGGTTCGGGGTGAAGGGGGTCCCAGTTAAGGTGACAGGAGATCTGACTTTGGATGGCAGGCAATATACAGATCTTGTAACATAGAAGCCCACCTGAAACCTCTATGTTCGTCAACCAATGCCCCGGTCCCCCCACACACACACCCCAATCAATTTAATTAATAAATATTCTTTAAAGAAAAGAGTATCTCCCACAGACACCTGGCTGCTCCGGTCCAATTGGGAGATGCTGGTCATCCATCCTCGCCAGTGGCGGCTGTGTGTAGCCTTCGTCAGCCTCTCCTTAAGAGAAGGCAAGCGTCTACCGTACCCAACTTCCCAGACTGTGCCCTCCGGGTTCTTGGGCCCCAAGTCAAGAGCTAGGGAACAACCCCAAAGACGCCCCCTCTGCCCGATGACCGCGTGCACACGTGCATGCACGCGCGCTGCTGCGCCTCGTTTCGGGCCCCACAGGTGCGGGTGGGATGCGCATCACAGGCTCCTCTGGGGCCTAGAAAAGCCGCCCCCGGGCGGGGCGGGCCGGACTGCCCATCCCGACGAAGGGAAGCGCCGCCAGGCCCAGAAAGCCGGCGGGGTCATGCCGGGGCCACCGCCGGCCAAGGAGGACCCGCTGGAGCTGCGCACCCTCCGGCTGCTCACCGACTACCTGGAGCACTGCGCCCGGAGGCCCGGCCGCGCCCCGCGCCCGCCCACCTCGCTGGAGGCCGCGGTGGTGCGCTCCCTGGCCCCCCAGATACAGGAGCAGTACCAGCTCTCCTGGACCCGCTACCACCGCCTGGGGTCGGGGGACCGCGTGGAGCTGGTGGCGAGCGCGATCGAGAAAGTATTTCTGCACCCCCCGGGCCCCGACTGGGGCCGCGTGGTGGCGCTCCTGGCCTTCGCGGGGTTCCTGCTGGAGAGGCCGCCGACGAGCCACCCGTGGGCGCTGAAAAATTGGGAAGCCACGGTGGACCAGGACTGCCAGAACCTGGTGGCCCTGCTGTGCGCCTGTCTCACCGGGCAGCACCGCGCCTGGCTGGAGGCGCACGGCGGCTGGGTGAGCGGCGCGGGGCCCTGTGCGGGGTGCGGGGCGGCATCCCAAGGCCAGCCCACGCAGCTGGCCCCCACAGGGACCTAGGGGCGGTCGGGCCTTGGGGCGCTCCTTTCAGCGGCACGTTCGTTCGGTGTGAATCCCGGGTTTCTTCTCTCTGGGCCGCTCTCTGGCTCGCCCGCTCCGGAGCAGCCGCGCGGGACTTAAGTTTGCAGCCCCTCCGGGTTTGGGGGTGCGCCCGCGTTAGGCCTCGGTGCTTTTGGTCCTGGGAGATCCGCAAGCTGGTGAAGCCAGCAGTAGGTCCCCGGGCCAGGTGAGTGCTTCCCCCTGAGCCGCCTCTGAGCCCCTCCTGGGAGAGAAGCACCCTCATGCACTCGCAGCTCTGCGTGCGGGCTAGAGAGCACCGGCCAAAAACGTTAGAATGAAAAGCCATGCCCTTCGCCTTCACACCTCTGGTGAGTGTGCGGGGTCACCAGGGGCAGGGCTGACTCAAGGTTCTTTAACTTCAAACGCACCGCCCTCAGCCCTATGAGCGCACCGAGGAGGCGTCCTGGCTCTCGGCTGTATCTGGCTGTATCTCATTGGTCTCTGTAGGCGGTGTAGGCTAGAGCAGCGATTTCCAACCTTTATCTCATCGCACACATAAACTACTACAGTTCTGTCCCACACCTACAATTCCGTCCCAAAAGCTACATTACCTTTTTGTTTTGTTTTTGCCAATCTGACCAAAACAAGAAGGTATAATTTTGATTCACTCACACTGGATAGCTATTCTTATGTTGTCATTTAAAAAAAAATTTTTTTTTTATAATGTAAGGGAAAAGAGGCAGGTGCCGCTGACTAAATAGTTGGGTATTGCATGTTTTAAAAAATCTTGCGGCACACCAGTTGAAAATCGCTGGGCGGGAGGGCCAGGCCCTTGGCCTCCAGCTCCCAAATCATGCTGAAGGGCAAATCAAGCCCCCATCCTTCAGTAAGAGGGTAGCATGTTTCTTGGATTCTGAGTGAGATCCCTGTTTCTTTCCTCTCACCTTTATTGGAGTTGAGTCAACGACTGAAGTAACCCAGATTATAGAATAAATAGAGCCCAAACTATTTAAAAACAGCCATTAAAACAATCCAGGGTGCTAGGCAAGACATTGTAGGAAATTTAGCCCCATGTTGGCAGTTTTGTAGTGATGAATTGGGCTCCATTTGTGAAGAACAGGCAGTATCCAGAACCTTGACTTTGTATAAACAGTTTTGGGTGTTTAGCTTCAATTCCTGCATACTTTGCAGTGTGTGTGTGTGTGTGTGTGTGTGTGTGTGTGTGTGTCTGTCTGTCTGTCTTCATCTTCAATCATGGCTACCTATGAACTCTAAGAACCCCACCTGAGCTGTTTGTCTTAAGGCATTTGGCCCCTAAAAGCCCTCTGCTTAGAGGGAATTGATTAAATTGGGGCGTGGGGGGGGGGGGAAGGGGGAGAGGAGGACATTGTTTTTGCTCTTTAGTTAATCAACATTAGCAAAGGACTATCCTTTTAACATGAAGACACATTTTTCCCAATTGCATAAACGGGGCATGCCCACCACTCTCCCAGATGCCCTTAAAATCTGGAGTCTGGACTCTAATTCGCTTTCTCCCCACTTTTCTGAATGGAGTTGCTTGCTGCGTTTCAAGTGATAGCTTTCAACCTGGTGATCTGGCAGTTTCCCACGTGGCGTCTGTCCTTGGCTCAGGAAAGAACATAACGTATAGGCCTAAGGCAGGGATTTTGTGTGTCAGTTGCAGAACACTGCAATAAAGTGAGTGTAATCTCTCTGTGGTAGAAGGTCTTGCCTTCAATTTGTGTTTAAAAACAAAACAAAAATCATGCAACTCTGTGAAGTCCAATAGAGCGAAGTGCAGTAAGACTAAGGTATGCCCCCTATGAGTCTCCCTCGCTGTTAGGTTTTGAGAGAAGTGAATCAAAAGAAAGAGTATTCCTGTTCTAAGTGACAACCTGAAGTGTCCCGTATGTCTTTTTCTCTCTCCCAGAGTGAATTACTTACAATTCAGAACTCATCAAAAGTTCCTAATTGCAGGTTGCCTATTTGGTATTTCCTTTTTTTAAACTTTTAAAATCTAGGAGTTATCTTACTGTTTCATCTTGAACCTCCTGTGTCTTTTATTGAGTTCAGGTTTGGAGCATTATGGAACAATCTAATTTCCCTTTTCTCCCTCCCCCTCATAGGATGGCTTTTGCCGCTTCTTCAGAGTTACACGGTCATGTGGAAGGGAAGTGATGGCTCCATTTCTTCTGTCATGCCTTGCACTCATAATAGTAATCTATTGGTTTAAAAACTGAGATGCAAAAATTTTATCCTATTTCTACCTGCCTACCTGTGACCAGCCAAGCGAATGTGAGATGTGGAAGAACAGAGTAAGGCACCTCCTGAGACATTTTTACCTGCATCCCTATTCGGAGTCCTGTGGTGACAATTCAGCCGGTGCTTTAATACCTGACAAGTACTCAAAGGAGTGTTAGAGGCACTTGCGTGGCTCTTCCCTGTCTGAGGAAAATGGGAATCTAAAGGCTTATTGCTCCAAAAAATTGTAAATGGGAAACCTGGTGCTAATGTACTGCATTTAGATAAATATGAGACCCTCATTTATCCACAATTTCATTGCTACTGCTGGGTCGGGAGTGAAATGGTGAAATGATATCAAAGTCTCCAAGTACCAGGCTAACAAAGAATGTAATAGTAACATCTTCATAAGGAATTCTTTCTAAAGCCTTTGAAATGGAATTCTCATTTCTAGAATTAATACTAAGAATTTATATTTTCTGACTTTAATAAATTGTTAAATGTCGTCAAAGTTTTAATAAATGTATGAATCTTTAAAAAACAACAACAACCTTAGTTGGTTTTCCTTTAGGATACAATAAGCCTTTATTTTAGTCTTAAAATAACTTGAATTGATGGCAATTTCCTTTTTATTATCTCTTTAAATACAACATGTACAATTCTTTTTACAGTTGATGTATGTACAAGATAATGATTAGACATTTATATATCTTAGCTGTTCACCCTAAGTTTACTACCCATCAGACACCATACAGTTATTAAAATATTATTGATTCTACACACATACACATATATGTATATGTGTATATATATATATATATATTAGTATATATTACTTATGCTGTGCTTTACATTCCCATGACTATTTTTATAAGTGGCAGTTTATATTAATCCCTCCCCTTTTTTTCATCCATCCTCCCAAAACTCCTCTCACTTGGCAACCATCAGTTTGTTCCCTGTATCTATAAGTTTTTCTCGTTTGTTCATTTATTTTTTTTAAATTCAATTACAGCTCACATTAAATACTTTGTATTAGTTTCAGGTGCACAGCATAGGGTTAGACAATCATAATCTTTAAAAAGGACTCCTCCAGATATTTCCAGTACCCACCTGGCACCATACATGGTTATCACTATCTTATTGACTATTTCCTATGCTGTACTTGACATCCCCATGACTATTTTGTGACTACAAATTTGTCCTTTTTAATTCCTATACCTTTTTCAACCTCCCTCATCTCTGACAATCACCAGCATATTCTCTGTATGAGTCTGTTCGATTTTCTTATTTTCTTTAGATTTTACATATAAGTGAAATCATATGGTATTCGTCTTTCTCTGACTTTATTTCACTTAGCATCACAAATGGTAATATTTCATTCTTTTTATGGTGGAGTAGTAATCCATTATATATATATATTCCATTATATATATATATATATATATATATATATATATATATTCCATTTTATATATATATATATTCCATTTTATATATATATATTCACATATTCTTTATCCAATTGTCTGTTGATGGGTACTTGGATTGCTTCTATATCCTGGCTACCCTATCTAATAAGGAGGGAATATGCATATTGACCATCATGCCATCACAAAAATGGCAGCACCCATAGCCACAAGATGGTGGCGCCCAGTCCCCTCAGCCCCGCCAGAGTCCCCCAGTCCTTTCAGCGCCACTGGGGGGGTGCCAGGTGCGTGGTGCGGCCAGACCCACCCTCAGCCCCCAGCTGTCCAGGGCCAGCCCAAGGTGCAAGCAAGCCTCAGATGTTGGCTGCCCAGTTATCTAGGGCCAGCCCAAGGCCCAGGCAAGCCTTGGATGGCAGCTGCCCAGCTGCCCAGGGCCACCCAAGGCTCAGGTAACCAGGGCCGTCCAAGGCTTGAGCTTCCAGCATTGGCAGCAGCAGAAGTGTGATGGGGGTGTTGCCTTCCTCTGATCACCTCCTGCCCCTGAGGGCTCCTGGACTGTGGGAGGGGGCAGGCCGGGCTAAGGGACAGCCCCTCCAGTGCATGATGCACTGTGCCTCTAGTTGTAAATAATGCCGCAGTGAACATAGGAGTGTATATAATCCTTCTAACTAGATTTTTGGGTTTCTTCAGATGTATACCCAGAAGTGGAATAGCTGGGTCATAAGGCCGTTCCATTTTTAAATTTTTTTAAGGAGACTCAATACTGGTTTCTACAGTGGCTGAACCAGTGTACATTCCCACCAACAGCGCACAAGGGTTCCCTTTTCTCCACCCGTCCTTGCCAACACTTGTTTGTAAATTTATTGCCGATAGCCATCCCCACAGTGTATGGTGATACCTCATTGTGGTTGTAATTTGCATTTTTCTGGTTAGTGAAGTTGAGCATCTTTTCATGTCTATTGACCATCTGTATGTCTCTGAAGAAGTGTCTATTCAGGTCCTTTGCCCATTTTTTGATTGGATTTTTTTTGTTTTGTTTTTTTGTTTTGGGGGTGTGTTTGTTTTTGGTGGTGTTGTATACTAGTAAGTTCTTTATAAGTTTTGGACACTAACCCATTATAAGATGTATCATTGTCAAATAGCTTCTCCCATTCAGTAAGTTGTCTTTACATTTGTTAATGGTTTCCTTTGCTATGCATAAAACTTTGATGTGGTCCCATTTGGTTTTTTCTTTTATTTCTCCTGCCCAAAGAGATGTATGGGGGGGGGGGGGGGGGGAATTGCTAAGAGAAATGTATGACAATGTACTGTCTTTGGGTTTTTTTCTAGAAGTTATATAGTTTTAAGTCTTGCTCAAATCCATGAGTTTATTCTAATGTATGGTATAAGAAGGTGGTCTGGGCCCATCCAGTGTGGCTCAGTAGTTGAGCATCAACCTATGAACCAGGAGATCATGGTTCGATTCCCAGTCAGGGCACATGCTTGGGTTGCAGGCTCGATCCCCTGTAGGGGATGGGATGGAGGCAGCTGGTCAATGATTCTCTCTTATCATTGATGTTTCTGTCTCTCTCTCTCTTCTTCCTCTCTGAAATCAATTAAAAAAAAATTTTTTTTAATATTTTTTAAAAGAAGATGGTCTGGTTTGACTATTTGGGGTCTTCTGTGGTTGTATATAAAGTTTTGGATTATTTGTTCTAGTTTTGTGAAAAAAAAGCCATTAATATTATATTAGTTGTGGATTTGCCATAAAAGGCCTTTATTTTATCATAAATGGGTTTGGCTCAGTGGATAGAGCATTGGCTTGCAGACTGAAGGGTTCCAGGTTTGATTCCAGTCAAAGGCATGCACCTCAGTTGCTGGCTCCGCCCAGGCTCAGGGCCCAGATTGGGGCATGTGCAGGAAGCAACCAATTAATGTCTCTCTTACATAAATGTCTCTCTCTCTGTCTTTTCTCCTCTTACTCTTTCTAAAAAAATAAAAAAATAAAAAGTGTATGACTGCTGCGTGGATGCTGATCACATAAAACAGAATTCACCCAGAAGGTCCTGTGCTTGCTGAGATCTCCCCTGGGATGTGCCACTGGGAAGCTAATTGAGTCATACTCTGATGTGGTCATACCCTGCCTCCTGGAAGGGACCCCAGTGATAATAAGTCATTGTCAGATGCTGCCAAAGCAATCCACAGTTTGTAGCTGCCTCTGCTGGTCCTGGGTGTGCACGGGAGGGGCCAAGCTGCACACCAACCCTGGCTTTTATTAGCACCAAGCCTTGGGTAAGGTCAGCAAAAGACCCAAAGCACCCTGAAATCTGCCTCCACTAGCTGGCTGTTAAATTCTCTCTGAAAGAGTATATAGCAGTTGCATCTGGAAGGTTCTCAGTGAGTCATCAGGTAGGGGTGAATGGCGTTCACCAGGTTGATAGAGATTCAACCTCAGCACAAGTAATGGGTCTGAGGCCACTCAACAGAAGTCTCAATGTGCACCAAGGACAGCTGCCACCCGCCTGGGGCCTGTGGGTCTTTGGTGTGGAGCAGGGTCTCAAGGAGTCATCAGGGTAAGGCCAATTAGTATTCGGCCATGTGGAGGGAGGGCTCTGTACAGGAATGATGGCACCAGTTGAGTTGTGCAAGGAATGGGAGAAAGGGGGAGATGGACCTCCTTGAGAGCCATCCAGGAAAGTCTGCACCCTGAGTGCAGGTTGACCACAGCCAGCAGCCTCCTCCACAAGGTGCAAGCTTGCTGGGTAAGGCCACAGGGAGTTGTGAGGCCAGTGCATCTCTTCAGGCTGATGAGGCATCGAGAGGAGTGCCCGACCAGGGAAAGATGGAATTTATGGGCAGTATAGAAGATGGACTCAGTACAAGGACAATGGCCACTATCCTTCTATCCCTCTCCTTGAAGCCACACAACCCCCTCTCTCTCTGTGTATAACTCCAGTCTGCTGAGCCACTGTCTCTTTACTGGAGCCCAGGTTGAGTGCCTGTGCAAGATAATTTGTGTGCTAGCCCTTTAAGAGGGCACCTGGGTTTTTAGCATCCTCCTATCTCTCCCTGGTGGACAGAATCCATGCTGATTTTCACAGCCAGATGTTATATGGCCTCCTCTTCCTGGCACTGGTGCTCTGGACTAGTGAGTCCAGCATGGGGTTGCAATACCCCAGCTCCTCGGTGCCCTTTCTACCTGTTTATGTGGTTCCTTCTATAAATGCTTGATTATAAGACTTTTGTTCAGCTATTTGTAAGACAGTTGCAACTGTAAAAAAAACAAACTGTGTGTATGAATAAAACAAAGCAGAAAGATGAATCTACTGCCAGGCCTTCACTGTGCCAGCTGGGAAACTCAAGGCAACAGAAACAATGAGTTGCGAATTGCTCACAGACCAAGGGG